CTCAATAAATGAAAAAAATAAGTTGTGTTGCCTGGAAGCTCAAAGACGTCCAATTTTGTTGCGTTTTTTGCAAATATCCTGCATCTGTTCGGCCGGCTATGGGGCCCTTGGAAGCCTGTGGGGGCCCCTTCGAGGCCCAGAAGAGGCATGGTCTCGTGACCACCTCACCCCCCCCCCCCCTCTTGTGCTTCTGACTTTGGATAGGACTTCTTTGAAATGAAGTGGTTATCCCCCCTCTACCTTCGTATAAGCAACAGACGCGATGCAACCCATGAGAGATTTCCTCTGGTAAATGCTAGGAGAAAGGGGCAGAAAGGTAGGATTAAAAAACCGTAACGCTGATGCCATTGTCGTCATTGGGAATTTTTCACGCGGTCAGCTGCATAGGATGCTGAGGTGTCTCCTCCCCGCAACCGCAAAACCGCAACCTGTACGTGAACTCACTAAGGTCAAAGTTTGAGGTCCTAGGTCATGACCTGTGGATCAAAAGGGGAAAATAAGATAAAATTCCGGGTTGGTCTCCAAAGGGTCCCTAGAGCCTAGATAGCTGTGCTAAGCAAAAGGTCACATGCACGTTTGAGATCCTTGACCTTGTTTGACCGCTTGAAAATCATGGCGACCAAAAGCATACAAGACTGCTTTGAGTTTTGCATTTGGATAAACGACAAAGATTACGCTAGACAGTATTCAATTAAAAGCAAACGTTGACCTGGATCATTTTAGGCCAGCGACCTATTCTGACCTTTAAGAAGTCCATGGAAGGTGTATAATGCGGTTCCTGTTATCAAAACGTTCGAAATGAGCGCCAGAAACTACCCCATACAGCGAGCCGTAGAGTAATAGAACCGGGTGGTTTTGACCTTGGCCTGACCTTCGTACCTGACCCTAGGTCAATTCAATTTGTTCAATCCATTGTTGTGTATCGTAAGAAAGTATCTCAGAAATGTATGGCTTCGTTTAACACTTCGTTGCTGGATCACATTGAACGTTTCCCTAGAAATTACCGCCGATGAAACCATGACCTATTTTTGACCTACCATAGGTAAACGACCTTAGAATCTACATCTAAATTTTGACGTCAGTCAATCCGCTATTCAGCTGTCTTCTATCAATCAATCCGCTATTCATTTCACAAGTAAAAATTATCACGTTGTTTTGACGCCAATTGAGGCTTTCTAGGAGTATCCTCCTCAGGGTGCAGGAACTGATGGCCTCCCTCCAAGTTTCAAACGCTCGTATGTCATTCGTCCATTGATTTGGACCTCTGCCAGTCAGGGTCAGTAGCACCATACGACCGCACACCCGATCATCACCAGAGCTTATGTGAGATCAGCTCGGACGAGTTCATCCCGTTGATTTGCTAGGTTCATTCGCGAAAAATAATACCGTACAATTAATGTCTTTCTATACCAAAGACCTATCAAAACAAATCATGTGCAGCAATTAATGGCTTGCCTTCGCGGAGGAAGAACGGCAAAAATTAGACCCGTTAAGGTGGCCTGACCTTAACTCACAACGACCTTCACTTAACCTTACTCCTGTCCTAGCGTTAGTTTACTTTTGCCTTTGTTCACAGGCCCGTATGATTTAAATGCAAACCAGGGTCTGCTTTGATTTGATGTCAAACATGGCAAAGATAAATGCCGGAGTTCGAATGTGCCCAGGGCTGGTTAAAACACATCAGTGATTAGCTGTCTGTTCGAGTGTTTGTGAAAGAAACATGAATTCGGAGCTAAGTTGTGCAAGCAAGTTGTGACCTTCCTTTGCACACAGAGAACAAAAAGTTTCGAAACGTCTTATAGTCCATGCATTAAAGGGGGTGTCCTACATATGCATGGAGTTTGTAACAGAAATAACCATCTTGAAGGTTATTTGGTGCAGTGCACGACCTTGCCCTTCCTAAGGCTTAAACTCATCTATTTTCTAAACTACACGCCCGCGAAGATGTATCGACCATTTCAGGAAGACCGGTTTGATGTCACCGAGACATTCATGACAGCACACTAACGTCATTCAAATCTTGTCATTCCAATCCATGCAGTGGTCAAGGTCAATCAAAATATTATTGTCGAGTCGTTCACATCTCGCGTTCGTGAGCACGATTTCCAGCCATCACAACCGTCCATTAGCTCTTAATCAATGCAATGCAAGGTGCGACGACGTCAAGCAATGACGTATTGAGGAGAATGATTCCTAAATGACAAGCTGTGCTGTCTAGAGCAATTATTTCCCGTTATAAACAGCCAGATGTCCTAGCTGACTTAATTTGATTGTATGTCCAGCTTGCATTAATACACGCTCGGGTGAGCGGTCAAATTTACCCTCTCCCCAAGGGTTTTCCAAAATGACTTCTGAACGGACGGCTACGTCGCGCCAAATTTTGCACAGCTGTGGAAATTTAAATAGAGCACGGAATGTTATCAAACATCTAGATGTACCTTGTAATCTCGCTGATCTATGGCAGGTCGAAATCAAGCCATGATTTCAACGAAGGCAATTTCTCGGGAGCCGTTCAATCTGATCCATCAAGGGAGTGTTAGACGAAACCATACATCTCTGAGGTGCTTTCTTAGACCACGCAACAATTGAATGAATAAGTTAAATTGACTAAAGGTCAGTTAAAAAGGCCATACCATGGTCAAAGTCAGCCTGCTGTATTGCTCTAGGGCTTGCTGTATGTGATAGTCTTGGGTGCTCATTTGGAATCTGTTGACAATAGGAACCCCATTATACACCTTTGATAGGCTTCTCAAAGGTCAACATAGGTCACTGACCTAGAATGACCCACGTCAATTTTTTAGGAACATACTGCCTGGCGTAATCTATGTCGCTTGACCAAATGCAAAACTCAAAGCGGCCTTGTAAGATTGTGGTCACCATGACCTTCAAAACATTAAACGAGGTCACTGACCTTAGATATGCATGTGACATTTTGCCTAGGACAATAATCTAGGTTCCCGTTGGAGACCAACCTGTAACTTGACCTTGTTTGTCCTTATTGGACCCGAAAGTCATGACCTAAGGACCTACAACTTAAACGTATGTGAGTTCATATACAGGTCAACACACCCTGTGAGTTTGGTGTCCCAGCTCTTTTAGTTCCTGAGATCTCAAAGCGGTCAAATTGACCCCCAATCCGAGCAAAGGGTACCCAACCGGCCACCCGGGCGCGTGTTAATATCAACTGTGCAGCATTCCGTTGAAATGCACAGATCTACGCTCCACAAAATAATGGTAACTTAGTAACAACTGAGTTGAAAAAACCGGATAGATGGTCTTCATTTTTCGCCTCGTAAAAGAGGCGTGCATTAAGCACAAATGTTGGTTGCTTTTGAGGTTTTTCATTCGACCTCTGGCATTGGCGGCCAATTCTAGCGATCGATTGATGAAGACCATCTATTCCTAAGACTGTAGCTTATAGGATTAGGAACTTTGGTTGCTATGACGTAAGGTTATGGGATCAGGACTACATCTTGTCTTATCAATTGAACGGTGCCATAATTATATTTTGCTATATCAAGAGGAGGTAATGTTGACCCACAACTGACCGTGGTTGACCGCGGAATGTCACAGGCGGTGCAGGCTGATGTCGACCTGCGCGCACTTTCACCATCATTCCAAGATGATTGAATACCCAAACATGACGTTCGCTGTCAGTGAATTGCGAAAAAAACAGCACCGGTGCCAAAAATGGCACAGCAATCTAGAGATGAACGAATACCAAACTGCACGCACTACACCAGATCTCAGTTCTGTGGAAGCCAGCGTAATTCATATATTTTCAGCTATGCCAAAATGTACGATGCCGCCTTAAATCGTTTTCAGTTACCGTAGATACTGCCCGAGCAGTTGCATGCTCCCAAAGGTACATTTGCGAATGCTTGATACACGATCACCAACTGGTACAGCACCAAGTCATAGGTAAAGCCAGATTAGGATCAGCCAGCCGTGCCTAACCAACGGTACTGAAGTGGAAATGCGAACAACTTTAGCAGAGTTAACAGTACGCACTATCTGCTGCTACGCACACACACGCACGCAGTTCGTACATGCACGCAGTAAAGATGGAAGAGAAAGATGGCTCAGGAAGTCCCTGGTTAATCTAACAAGACGACGGATTTTGTGCAGGATTCTTTCGAGTCCCCTACGGTGGGTTTCGACTGCCCCTGACCGAACTCACCCCACCACCGGTGGGTGGAGCAGAAGGCAGGCGCTGTAACGAAATGAGCCATCGCGATGGACCTGCAGCTCATGATCCCTGAACACCTGGGGCTGAAGGACTTTCTTGTTGATGTCAAATGCAACGCATGAAAATCAGTTCCGGGCACAATGGCAGTTCAAAAATGGATCGTGCACACGGTGCCGTTGGTTTACGTTTCTGTAACGATTTACAAACGTGGTCACGCATCGCGACGGGTCAAAATGTTTCAGGGCATACTTCGGTCAACACTGCTCTAAACCATGGGAATCCAGGACATACCAATGTTAATCACCCAAGTTTTCGGAAAGGTTGTGATGGAATACAGCCTAGCTGTGGTCTGAGCAGGGCTGGACCTTCTAAGTGAATCATCAACACGAGCTCACCATCGCTGACTTCCCGACGTGATGTCAACAGTTGTAAACATGGCTGCTCATGCTCGGGTTCGGCACGCTCGTGACGCAGTCCAGATTCCACCGGCTCTCTGGGCCTCCGTCACGTGTTTATGTTTGGAAATACCAGACACCGGAGTGCCTCCTTACTAGATGTTTACGCTCTGAAGACGACACCAGCCACGACAAACCAAGCATGCTGGCTCACATGTCAAGATGAAAGGTCTGCTGCCCTGGAACGGCCCAAGCTATGTGTTTATGTCTGTCTAGCGGTGTGAAGCCCAGCCGTGTCAGAATCGTACACGACACGAGCTGTAAACAAAGCGGTCTGCGGAAAACCAGACTGTCTGAGCTGTGGACGTTAACAAACTGTCGGTATATAATAAGAGCCGGCGGTGCGGAGGGCAGAGTTAGACAAAAGCAGCAGCAGCGGCGGTCAAGATGCGGCTCCTCGTGTACTTTCTGCTGGTGTGCAGTGTTCTGTGCGCAGACGGCACCGAAGCTCACGACATCCCGTTGAAGAGCAGCATCGGGACAGAGCCGGAGGACGGCTACGGCACGCCCAGCATCCTGCGGAGGATGGAGGAGCGTCTGATCCAGATGGCGGCGAGGCTGGAGACGCTGACACACACGGTGGACACGCAGCTGGCGCAGCTGGACAACAGCGTGCTGCAGCTGTACAGGGAGGTGGGCAGCAGTCGGCTGACAGAGACCCTGGCCGAGCTCAGGCAAGCCGCGCTTGCAGTGAAGGCGCCCGCCGCTACCGCCGCCACCAGCCCGCCCGACCTCGCGGACACCATCAGCCAGGAGATCCGCCAGTCGGAGCAGCAGCTGCAGGCGCAGCTCAACGACACGCAGAAGCGTCTGGTCACTCTGCTGGAGGAGGCGCGTCCCGTCGCCGCAGCGGCAGGCAGCGGCGCAACCACCGTCATCGTGGAGCGGTGCAGCTTCCGGGACCAGTTCCAGACGGTCGACGAGTGGCGTCCGGCCGACTGCGCCGCCGTCCAGCAGCGACACCAGCGCAGCGGGGTCTACACCATCTTCCCACCCGTGTGCGGCAACGGCGGCGGCATCCGCGTCTTCTGCGACATGGAAACGGACGGCGGCGGCTGGACGGTGCTCATGAGGCGCGCGGACGTGGCCGACCACCAGGACTTCAACATGGGCTGGCAAAGCTACAAGTGGGGATTCGGCAACCTCAGCAGCGAGTTCTGGCTGGGCAACGAGTACATGAACCTGCTAACCAGTATGGACCAGATGCAGTTGCGTGTGGATCTGAAGGCTTGGGACAACGCCTCCACCTTCTCCACTTATACTCCCTTCTCCATCGGCACTGAACAGCAGAAATACGCCCTGAAGATTGGTAAACATGTGGGTAACGCCGGCAATTCTCTAAGCAAAGCGAAATTCTCGACAAAGGACCAAGACAACGATAGCTGGGGCAAGCATTGCGCTGTTCAGTTCCAGAGCGCGGGCTGGCATACAGCATGCCTGTCCTCTACCCTGCTAGGACCTTACAATAAAGGCTCCATCAAAACTCCCTGGATCGGAATCACGTGGAACACGTGGAAGGGCAACAAGTACTCACTGAAACAAGCCGAGATGAAGATGCGACCCGTTAATTACATGACGTGGTGCCATAAACTGGTCAAAGAAGGTGCCATTGAATGAACGTGGTGTCATGCCAGGCGTTTGATCAGAAGACGAACAGACTCGTGGCGTTGTTCTTATGTGCTTGCGCTTTGCTAATTCCTCAGGCATGCTGGCCAATGGGCATTTCAGGCAATGCATGATTTGTTTTGTAACCAACAACAGTACACAAATACATTGGTTGAGCATATGTACAATGGCATCAGTCGAGGACATTGGTTGAGCATGTGCAGGACCAGGTGTAACCAGGTATGCTAGATAGTGTACCGTCCAAGTGAAATATTCGTGGCTTTCAATATAACCTTCTGTGATTTTGCTTAAGCCATATGATAAATATGGTGACGTTAATATAAAGATTGCAGTATGGGTCTAATGGTGCCCAAATTACTTATCCAAACGTACAATGGATAAGACTGCGCCCTAGTTGCATTCCTTCCTGGAGGCTAATGTGAAAGATGAAGTGATTAGATCAGCAGGTCACTGCATGCTGATCAGGAGCCGACACAGATGCACGGAGAGTGATTTACATTTTTGGTGCAGAAAATATAACTGAAAAAAATGTTTGTCGATGACAACAGGTTGAGTCATGATTAACAGTGTTTCCCGTTATAAGAAATGGGGAAGTTTATGGCAACGCGCGTGGTGAGCCAAGCACTTTGGTTTTCGATGCCCATAACTTGTGAACATTTAGGCCAACTGAATTATCATCATGCAAGTGCAACAGACAGGCACAAACGACGGGAGTCTGCGTTAACCCGACGGAAATATACTAAGGCCAGTACTGCTACAGGGCCTTTGGCGGGAATGGACTACAGCTGGCATATAAAGCCGACATGCTCGGTTTTCGAAAGCGCTCATCCGATCAGTTCAAAACCTTTACCAGTCGACTCAACGTAATGAGCAGTGAAGACGAAGTGGTCGAACAGGAGGAAGCCTTTGTGGTCACTGGAGCACATAGGATCATGGCCAAGAGCGGTGGTGGCCAAAGCCCTCACAAACAACATTATCTTTACACTCCACCGGCCTGATCTACCTTCAGATGCCTGTGTGGGGTACACCGTTGTCAAAGGCCGAGCATTTGTTGCGAACCTGATGCGCCGTTTTCACTGTCAGCGCGTCGGTCACACGAAACCACACTGCTGCACACGACCGATGGTCATTTGACGCTCCGCCGCACCCCCCGCCTCCAGCACCATCACACCACTCTGGCGCTCCGCTGCACCACTCGTCTTCAGCACAATTACACCACTCTAACGCTCCGCCGCACCCCCTCCCCCTTCAACACCATTACACCACTCTGACGCCCCGCCGCGCCCCCCGCCTCCAACACCACTACACCACTCTGGCGCTCCGCCGCGCCCCCCGCCTCCATCACCATTACACCACTCTGACGCTCCGCCGCGTCCCCCGCCTCCAACACCATTGCACCACTCTGGCGCTCTGCCGCGCACCCGGCCTCCATCACCATTACACCACTCTGACGCTCCGCCGCACCCCCCGCCTCCATCACCATTACACCACTCTGGCGCTCCGCCGTGCCCCCCGCCTCCAACACCATTAAACCACTCTGACGCTCTGCCGCGCCCCCCCCCCCCCCCCGGCTCCAACACCACTACACCACTCTGACGCTCCGCCGCGCCACCCCCCTCCAACACTACTACACTACTCTGACGCTCCGCCGCACCACCCCCCTCCAACACTACTACACCACTCTTACGCTCCGCCGCGCCCTCCTCCTCCATCACTACTACACCACTCTGACGCTCCGCCGCGCCACCCCCCTCCAACACTACTACACCACTCTGACGCTCCGCCGCGCCACCCCCTCCTCAACACTACTACACCACTCTGACGCTCCGCCGCGCCCCCCCTCCAACACTACTACACCACTCTGACGCTCCGCCGCGCCCCCCGCCTCCAACATCATTACACTACTCTGACGCTCCGCCACACCCCGCGCCTCCAACACTACTACACTACTCTGACGCTCCGCCGCACCCCCCGCCTCCAACACATACACCACTCTGACGCTCCGCCGCGCCACCCCCCTCCAACACTACTGCACCACTCTGACGCTCCGCCGCGCCCCCGCCTCCAACATCATTACACTACTCTGACGCTCCGCCGCACCCCGCGCCTCCAACACTACTACACCACTCTGACGCTCCGCCGCGCCCCCTGCCTCCAGCACCACTTCACTTCTCTGACGCTCCGCCACGCCTCCCGCCTCCAACACTACTACACCACTCTGACGTTCCGCCGCGCGCCCCGCCTCCATCACCACTACACTACTCTGACGCCCCTCCTCGCCCCTCGCCTCCAACACCACTACACTACTCTGACGCTCCTCCTCGCCCCTCGCCTCCAATACCACTTCACCATTCGGACGCTTCGCCGCGCCCCTCGCCTCCAACACCACTACACTACTCTGACGTTCCGCCGCACCCCTCGCCTACAGCACCACTACACTACTCTGACGCTCCGCCGCGCCCCTCATCTTTGGATTGTGATTAAGATGGGCCAAAGCGGTTATCATCAGCGCTGTGACTTTTTGTGACCTGTGACATTTTTAAAGCTCTCTATTTCACCGCTTCGGAGTTATAGCCCTCGGCAATTTTGAGATGCGTGGTTCCAAGGTATTCTTCGGTGCAATTTTGCATATCTGCCAAAAAGTGTTCTGGCAAACCTATGCGTTAAGACGATCAGAAAAGTGTCCTAAATATTTACATGCCGCACGTAAAATCGTCATTGCCCATTTGCATGTGCGAGAGAAGAGTTTGGTCTCCGTTAATAAAAAAAACAACGATGGCGGTCAGCTTGGAAACACATGGATCCTGCGCCGACCAGTCATGCGTAACACACGAAGACTCGGCGCCCCGCCGCAGCCGGCGCTCCCTCCCTCCCGCCCCGCCCCCTCTCGCGTGAATGCTGTCGGAGCCGGAGTAATTGGAGCAGGTGGGAGGGGGAGGTGAGTGCGTATTGTGAAGGTGATGTTGTCTCTTGTTCATGTGCGGCGACTCAGAAGTCAAACACTGGCCCAGCGATAGGGCCATGGGGAAGTGCCTGTTGTTCGGCTGGAGTGAGTGGGTTTATGGGCGTTGCCTGCTGTTTGTCTGGAGCGAGTGGGTTTATGGACAGTGTCAGTGGTTCGGCTGGAGCGAGTGGATTTATGGGCAGTGCTCGTGACAACATAACGCTCAAACGACCCAAGTTGTGGTGATCCGTTGGGAAACACCGAACAAGAGCACGTGCGAAGTTTGAAGGACTTTTTGCGCTTTTTTGCACCTTGACCATTTTTTTTGTACTTTCACTGTTCATCAGATGAGACGCATCCGATTTATATGCAATGCCAAATCTCTCGGAAAACGAAGTTTTCTCGGAACAAAAGCGAGTTTACTTCCTTTATTCGTTTCGCTAAAACCTTGGTGCCGAAATATCAATCAATCTCTGTCTCCATTCCGCGGATTTCTCTCTAAGAAATAGGGCTATGTCTATTGCCTAATCTTGAAATTCAAGCTTCCATGCTAACTATATTACGGCCTTCGAAGGCCTCTCCACACCATAACTCACCAATGTTGTGGGAAAAACAAAAAACCACTTAGGTATTGATATAGCAGGACTGGGCAATGAAACAATGGCCTTCAACCGTTGAACGGACCTGACATATCGCAGGTGCCATCTGGCGATGTTCATTAGGGCCTGAGTGATCGAGTTTTCAACAGCCATTGAAAGTCATCTTCCACATAGATGTAGCACATAAAGTGCTCGTAATAATAAAAGGAGCTATGCAATGCTAACTTGGCCTCTTTGACGCCGTTTGCAACGCGGAGCTTACATCTGACAAATACCGTGCGTGTGCATTGTTTTGCCTTGTTAGCATCGTTGCAAATGGGTCCCCCATTTCCCCTCTGCCTTTTGCAATTCTGTGCTGCTTCACATGGCCACCGGCCGCGGTATGTAGGGCAGAAAGTCAGCGACGGGTCAACCGGCCGCGGTATGCAGGACAGAAAGCCAGCGACGGGTCAGCCGGGCGGCGGTGTGTAGGACAGAAAGCCAGCGACGGGTCAGCAGGCCGCGGTATGTAAGACAGAAAGTCAGCGACGGGTCAGCCGGCCGCGGTATGTAAGGCAGAAAGCCAGCGACGAGTCAGCCGGCCGCAGGATGTAGGGCAGAAAGTCAGCAATGGGTCAGCCGGGCGGTGGTATGTAGGACAGAAAGTCAGCGACGGGTCAGCCGGCCGCGGTATGTTGGACAGAAAGGCAAGCGACAGGTCAGCCCAGTGTCCTAGAATTGCCGACTTTGGGTGTAAAGCAACACCCTATGGGAAGGAATTTTTCACTCCTTTTCCCCACATTCCATGTGAGTTTTCACTCCTGCCTAACATCCTCTAATCGCACATGACAAACCCATATATCCCTTTGTGAGGTTTTCACATGCCATCCAAAACCAAGTTCACTTGAAACCACCAAGCATAAACAAGGCTCCACAGAACCTGTACGCCTATGGCTATTCCTGCCTCACCTACATCTGAATCATGTCTATGTATGCGCAGAACAAGGATGTCAGGTACCTTCAAGCAAGAACCCCAGCGACTCCAGCCGCTCGCATGCATCAAGTTTGGTTTGTTTACAAAATGCATCACAATCGGCAGCTGTGTGCCAAATACAAGATTTTAACGCATCCACAATTTTTGTGGTCTCATCACTATACCACGAAAGCAAAGCCTCGTGCAAGCACCAGCAAGGCCTGGTAGAGAATTTTACTCTACGTATTTCTTTACCCGAAGAAACTTGACCACTAAATTGCGTCACTCCCGAAATGCAGGAATAAGAAATTCAAGAAATGTCTTCTAACTGAATTTAACAAGATGAATATTAGCATTTGAGCACTCATATTAACAGATATTATGTCAAATCAGATGATTACGAAATGTTGCCAAAAGAGTATCAGTCTTTATATTTATTTAGCTACTTTTGTTTTTCTTGGTATCATGCGACTATGATACCACTTTATTCTTCCTTCCTTTCCAATCGCTTTTAGAGGTAGCATCTTGTTCTTAAAATGTTGACCAGCTTCTCAAAATTGAATTTATTCGTCAGCCGCACAAACATGTTTGATATGCAACCAACAGCGAACAATTCACAGGGAATGAAGGAGACAATCTGAAGCACAGACATTATCTTTAACGCTATGTTTTCCCTGTTAAACCCTCGGTTATCTGTATTTTTTTGTTTGTTCATGGCGCAGCAAGACAATGATAATTCTAAGCCTTTCGAGTGCCTAACTCACCAGTCTACCTGACAAAGCCATCCTTATCCTGTCATATAAAGCTTTCGGACAGATCAGAGGCAGCTAATACAGAAGTACTTGACGGCGAAATTTTGCCCTCTGGAAATGTTTATCATACACACCTGTTACCTGTTTCGCATTTTAATCTCGTAGGTTGGTGGACATGATTGATTTTTTATTTGGGGGGGGGGGGGGTGAGTGAGATGACTCTGTCTGTCAGCAAACCACTCGAAATGTACTGACTTTTTGTTTTAGTGGAGCGGGAAGAAGTGTGCCCTGAAAGAGCCAGCAAGTCTCCTGTGGACCAAGTAATTGCTTACCTTACCTGCTTGCAACACATGCTTTGTAACCAAAGCTAGAGCCACTTTCTGCTTTAATCCGTCGAGTTTTGTCATAAGACAAATTAGGATGCCACCAGGCATGCAATGGGCTTATTTTGTTCTCTATTCTCGATTATTTGCCCCAAATTTCTTTAAGTGGCCCCTCATGGCTACTTTAACCAAATGTTTTCCATAGTTGTCATGGTTTGCTGACTGGCAAAGGACTGTGCTGTATACATGCACCATATTTTTATACGGGCATACTCTAAGCTGCATAACAATTACAATATGAGGTAAATATCAGTATTAAGTAAATTGTCAGACCATCCCATTAGAAACGTGAAGGCGACACCTCAAACTTTATCATTAAA